AGAACTCAGTATTTCTTAGCAATATCAGTGTAATGGGGATCTCTGGCTATCCTAATTGCAAGCTTAGCATTCAGCTCCTTAATTCTGCTTTTAACACTGGGAGGGACAACTCCTCTCGTAGATTAGACGTTTTGGCAGTCCTTGGAATTCCAAGAATGATTGATTATCATGGCTTCATTCTGAATGCTTTCAAGCCTTTTCATATCGCTTTGGGAGTAGGTGCACAAAACTGGCGCGGCATAGTCTATGACGGAGCGCACATAGGCTGTGTACATCATTTTAAGCACGGCAATAGAGTTAAGCCATGTCCATTCCAGGTCATGGCTTTCAGTGTCCTGAGTCAACTTTTGCATGTTTCTATAAGTTGGTCGAGCTCCTCTTTTTCCCCCTTGTTAGAGCCAACAGTGGCGCCAAGGTACCGATAGTGGTCAACCCATTCAAGTGTTACACAATTAATTTGCAGTTCTTCATTTGCTCTCCGCTTGTGATGGGAGTATGCCTTCGTCTTGTTTGTGGAGAGAGTGAAACCGAGCTCAATACATTTCCTTCCGAGGAGTTCAATAGACTGTTTAATTTTTTCCCCAAGGTGGGAGCTTGTATTAGATCATCATCTGCATATCCCACTTGTTGTGTTCCTTCCGGAAAATCAATATTTGCAATGGCGTTCATAAGTACATTGAATAGTGTGGGGCTTAAGACTCCGCCTTGGGGGGTCCCGAGTTCCATATTCATTGTTCACTCCATTGAAGCAAACCTTGGCTTTCCTCCCTGTGAGGTAGTCTTCAACCCATTTCATGAGTCTCCCCTTGACACCCATGCATGCAAGCTCGTCCAGGATCGCAATCCCCTGTGCTTTATCGAAAGCTCCTTTGATGTCAACAAATACAGAGTACCTAGCCGTGTCATTAGCCAGGTAATTAACTATACAATTTGCTGTGTTCCGTCCTTTAACAAATCCATTGACCCCCTCCCCTAACCTGCCTATTTTGTGCAACCGTCGGTTTAGGATGATCCTTTCAAGCATCTTGCAAGTGCATAACATGAGACTGATAGGTCTGTAATTACCAGGGTCATTGGGTTTCGGTATGGGGACAATTATTGCATGTTTCCATTGTGTGGGCAACACTCCACTTAGGAATGATTTGTTAAACAGGTGGAGTAGTGGATTCCCAGACACTTCACACAGTGCATTGAATATGTCGTAGGTGACGCGATCTTCATCAGGTGCTGCACTTTTACCCTTTTTCATAGCCCCCATTACTTCCTGGGCTGTGATCGGTTCCCCATACTCGTCATTACTAGATTGTGCTCTTGTTATCCTGATTCTTCTGTCATTATGTCGGAGGAGCTGTTCCCTGCTTACTTATGCAGGGAGGGAGGAGGAGGATGCTGCATCACTCCACTTGTGAATTAGTGGCTACGTGTCAGGTTGACTAATTAATTAGTCAGCCTTACCCCGGGGGTCTGTGAGTCGCAGGCCGAGTTCTGCCCCCCTTAGCTATCTGAATTTTTGCCCACATTTGTCTTGCAGATGTTTCCCGTCCAATGGAGCTAGTGAATTCAAGCCAGTCTTTTCCGCTCTTTCATCTTCTCTTCCCTGGCTACTTGATACACAGTTTTAAACAACTCTTGGTTACTTTCAGTGGGATGTCTCGGGTACTCTACTCATGCTTCTAACATTTGTATTGAGCATCTTTATGTAATCGTTCTCATACCATTTTATTTTCTTCTTCTTAGGGTTACTGCGCCCAGGCGTACGGCGCGGAGCTCTGAGACAGTGCTCAATATGGTTATTCAACCCGTTCTCGCAAATTCGTAAAGTCAATATTGACTTATTAACTACGTGCATAGGTAATATACTAAACATAATAGATACCCTTAAAAAGATTCATAGAAAACACCGACCTTACCTAACCTTGTTAGTATCTTAAGATAAGCATCTTATTGCTTCGTAATTACAATTATTACTTAACCTATACCTATTATAGGTTAGGTAATAATTGTAATTACGAAGCTATGAGATGCTTATCTTAAGATACTAACAAGGTTAGGTAAGGTCGGTGTTTTCTATGAATCTTTTAAGGGTATCTATTATGTTAAGTATGTCACCTATGCACATATTTAATAAGTCAATATTGACTTATTAAATTTGCGAGAACGGGTTGGGTTATTAAGGTCATCAACAAATGTATCAATGTCTTCTGGGATTTGGTATTTCGTGAACCAGTCACTCATACTCTTTATGAAGTGCGGCCTCATATCCTGTCCGAATGATAACCTTTTCTTTTATTCGTCTCTTTCCTTCTCTTGCTCATGTCGACGGTGGTAATCAGTGCCCAGTGGTTACCTTAGAGTTACTGGTCACTACATAAACTGTGCACAATGTGTGTACTAGCATGTGTCCTGTGCATTCAGCAGGAGAGCATAGTTTAATCTTCCTCCTCTGAGGTGAGTTGGCTGTTCATCACCCAAGACTCTTAAGGTTTTCACAGTTTCCGTCCATTAACATTGGGCTGATGACAGTTGGCACCAAAGTGTGGGTGTCTGGCATTAAGGTCACCGACCAGCAGGGTAGGTTCCAAAATTAACAAATTCAGGCAGTGTGTCAAGGTCAAGTTTACTCTGTGGCACATATAGGTTGATTATATGTAGGGCATTATTGTTTAATGACTCGTATTCATCCCCTCCCCATGTGGGGGTCATCAATAATCTGTGCCGGAGGCCTGGTCGACGACCGGGCCGCGGGGACACTAAGCCCCGGAAGCACCTCAAGGTAGCCTCAAGGTAGCGGGACTGTTGTTATTTACAAAAGTGATGACGCCCCGTTTTCTTTCCCCAGAGGGCAGTGAGAACTTGTGATAACCGCTGAACCTTGGGTTGAAGTCATCACCCACCAGCGTCTCCTGTAGCACTACGACGTCAATTTGGTGGTCACGCAAGTTGTCATGGTCTCCTGGCACCTGTAAACGTCTCCGATGGATGTCACGCCAACTTCCACTCTATCCGTACCAGTATTAATCAATAATGTCTAGGTGTGGCATTTGTCCATTTAGCCCCCCCCCGGCCCCCCGGTGCGACAACAGTGAGCCAGACACACGCCAGGAGCCTGCCACTCGCTCCTCACACCTGACAAGTAATATATACAACCCAGTATTACTCTTAAGAGCCTGGCAACGTCCGCTCTCCTGTAATTCGTTACGGCGGTTCATTTGGAAGAAGTACCTGGCTTTTATTAACACGTTTACACACACACACAACAGTGTGCTGCTACCGTATAATATGTGAAGCATTACTGAATGTAGATCAACAGCCAGCTATAACTATCTAATATCCCCATCCCACAGGCTGGTCAAACACGGAATCAAGAGAAAATAAGAGATGTGATTCTTGTTTACTAGCCTGCACTAGCTATCTCTTGAATATCATATAGTGGGAATACCTTCATATTCAAGGATATTGGAGGTAGTTATAGAGTATCTAAATACTCAAACGTATATAAAAATATTTGAACTTTGTTGAATTACGCCCACCAGTAGTGTTACTCTCATACACACTGACACATACAGGCTCGTCCCGGAACTGAGAGGAATGAGCTACGAGGAAAGGCTAAAGGAGCTGAACCTCACATCCCTGGAAAACAGAAGAGTAAGGGAAGACATGATAGCCACCTACAAATTTCTCAGGAGAATTGACAGGGTGGACAAAGACAAACTCCTTAGCACGGGTGGAACACGAACAAGGGGACACAGGTGGAAACTTAGTACCCAGATGAGCCACAGGGATATTAGAAAGAACTTTTTTAGTGTCAGAGTGGTTGACAAATGGAATGCATTAGGAAGTGATGTGGTGGAGGCTGACTCCATACACAGTTTCAAATGTAGATATGATAGAGCCCAATAGTCTCAGGAACCTGTACACCAGTTGATTGACGGGTGAGAGGGGGGACCAAAGAGCCAGAGCTCAACCCCCACAAAGACAACTTGGCGAGTACACACACTGACACGCCCACCAACAGTGTTTACTGGCACCTACTCCCCCCCCCCCCACCACCACCAATAGTGTTTACTGCAGTAAGAGGTAAACATGATGAACAACGACCCGTCCTTCTCGGGTCTGAGATATGGCGTGCAGATCACCTACTTTCCTAGACGTTTTCCTGTAGATTTTAAATAGTATGACTAAAAATGATCCCACCATTTTGGGTGTAGAGTGCAAATCTCATAGATGTCATTAGGATCCCGTAGAATTTAATAGTTGAATTAGATCTAGGTATACCTGAGCTGCATTATACATTAGCTGCACTAATGCAGATGTACCTAATATGTTAATAAAAAAAAGGTATACCTGAAAGTACTAGTATAAAAAGCTATGATTTGTTCAGATCTGAAACCTACATCTATGGGCAGCACAAAACGTCCACTAGACTGTGCGACACAGTGGTTGCAAAGATCAGGTTGGGTTACCGTTACCTGTGGCAGGTGGCTACAGGTGACGGATCTCCCAATCCTGAGCACTCCAGTTGCAAACTCTGTGAGTAGGAACTGCGGCATGATCTCCCGCACTACATCACTGAATGCCCAGTTATTAGACCATTCAGGCGGAATGGCGTTGAGAGGCGGGACCAAAGAGCCAAAGCTCAACCCCCGCAAGCACAATTAGGTGAGTACACACACACACACACACACAGGGTGGGGGTGTAGGACACACACAGGGTGGGGGTGTAGGACACACACAGGGGTGTAGGACACACACACACACACAGGGTGGGGGTGTAGGACACACACACAGGGTGGAGGTGTAGGACACACACACACACACACACACACACACACACACACACACACACACACACACACACACACACACACACACACACACACAGGGTGGGGGTGTAGGACACACACAGGGGTGTAGGACACACACAGGGGGGTGTTGGACACACACACACACAGGGGTGTAGGACACACACAGGGGGGGGGTGTAAGAAAGAGAGTGCTTACCTCTGGTGTTGGTGGCCACATCAGCAATCTTCTGGAAGGCGTCGAGGAAGGTGGAGAGTGCCACCAGCGTCGCTCTGTAGGAACACCACACACACCACGTTAGTCTTACTCTTGGACTCTATCACCCCCCTCCCCCCTTTCGTCGCACACTCGCCACCCTCCCCCCCCCCCTCGTCGCACACCTGCTCGTCCCCCCAAAATGGGGTATAAATTAGGTATGATAAAATATACCTCGTTTATTGAGGTGTATACACACACACACAAAGGATAAGGTAGGCCAAGCTCTTCTAACCTGGACCAGTACAACGTGTTCACATCTATTTACACACACCACAAACAGTCAACACATTACTGAACATGCTAGGTGATACACACATTTCTTCCTGTACACGTGGCAACATGTCAACGTAAACACATACTTTTATAAGTACAAAGACATAATTAACCATAAAGAGGCGACACTGAGACATTCTGACAAAGCAACATGGGTTATAATCTTGGCACAAAACTCTCATCTCTACAGAGTATAATCAGTCTTTCCGTTGCGAGACATCCAGGCTATTTGATCAGGAACAGTCCTTATCTCAGTATGCCTATACACATTAATCAGCGGGTAATTAAAAGCATATTGGGCGAGGGAGCGAGACATTAACATAACACACAGCTTACACTTATCATCATTATCATCATTTAACACCTGTTTCTTATTTCCAGTAATATTTGTACCCAAGCCTAAGATATGTGTAAAATGTACTCCATATTGTCCTTTTCCGCAAGTGAAATCTGTGATTTGATTCATGTTTAAAAATGCTTGACTTCCCTGGACCATCTCTTGTTGCTACTTGAGTCTCTAAATCCTAGACCCGTATCATTAACAAGTGTGGTAGTCAAAACACTAGAGCAAATATTTAAAGCCAGATGCGTTGAACAGCAAGAGAGTAATGATGGAATAACGGCCAGGCAGTTTGGTTTTCGTAAAGGAAGATCCTGTGTAACAAATCTTAGTTTTATGACAGGTTATCTTTATTGAGGTTATCTTGAGTTGATTTTGGGGCTTTTTTAGTGTCCCCGCGGCCCGGTCCTTGACCAGGCCTCCACCCCGAGGAAGCAGCCCATGACAGCTGACTAACTCCCAGGTACCTATTTACTGCTAGGTAACAGGGGCATAGGGTGAAAGAAACTCTGCCCATCGTTTCTCGCTGGCGCCCGGGATCGAACCCAGGACCACAGGATCACAAGTCAGTGTGCTGTCCGCTCGGCCGACCAGCTCCCGTATTGCCCCTCTGTAGACAGAGCCACAGAGGCAATACAGGAAATAGATAGTTGGGTTGACTGTGTCTATCTGGACCTAAAAAGGCTTTCGATAAGAATCCCACACAAGCGGCTGTTCTGGAAACTGGAAAATGCTGGAGGGGTGACGAGTCTCCCTGTCACAAGTCACAGGGAGACTTCTGACATGGATGAAAAACTTTGTAACTGCCAGACAGATGAGGGCGGTAATCAGAGACAATGTGTCTGACTGAAGGAGTGTTACTAGCGGAGTACCACAGAGTTCAGTTCTTGCACCAGTAATGTTCATCGTCTACATAAACGATCTACCAGAAGGAATACAGAATTATATGAACATGTTTGTGGATGATGCTAAGATACTGGGGAAGACAGGAGACGCAGACGACTGTAATGTCCTTCAAATTGATCAAGATAAAATAAATGCTTGGAGTGTCAAGTGGCAAATGGAATTCAATGTGAATAAATGTCATGTTATGGAACGGGGAATCGGAGAAAACAGACCACACACAACTTACAATAAATTATGTGTGAAAGGAATTACAGAACTAATAAAGAAGGTGACCAAGGGATGGTCTTGGATAGTAAGGTGTCGCCAGAGGAACACCAAGAACATTGTGAGAGGAGCGTGTGCCTCGCTCCTCTCCTCCTCATGAAGGGAATAGTTAGTCTAGTGCTAATATCAAGGACTGTCACACGCACACATTGAAATAGTGAAAGGAATTCAATTTTCAATCACAAGTTCTTTAACATCCAGGAATAATGCTCAGAGCTTCGTTCTGTATCACTGCTAGCTTTTAATTCTGCCTTTCCCTGCGTCAGACGAGACGGGCGCTGCATAGTGTATCCGGGGCGCCAACCCGCGCACCACAAAATGTTGGCGCCTGTAGAGGAGTCAGTCAGGCGTTACTTAAGGTGTAGACAGGATTTATTTCAGCATTTGTATTCTTGCACGTGCATACTCGCGCGTACTCACCTAGTTGTGCTTGCGGGGGTTGAGCTCTGGCTCTTTGGTCCCGCCTCTCAACTGTTAATCAACTGGTGTACAGGTTCCTGAGCCTACTGGGCTCTATCATATCTACACTTGAAACTGTGTATGGAGTCAGCCTCCACCACATCACTTCCTAATGCATTCCATTTACTAACTACTCTGACACTGAAAAAGTTCTTTCTAACGTCTCTGTGGCTCATTTGGGTACTCAGCTTCCACCTGTGTCCCCTTGTTCGCGTCCCACCAGTGTTGAATAGTTCATCCTTGTTTACCCGGTCGATTCCCTTGAGGATTTTGTAGGTTGTGATCATGTCCCCCCTTACTCTTCTGTCTTCCAGTGTCGTAAGGTGCATTTCCCGCAGCCTTTCCTCATAACTCATGCCTCTTAGTTCTGGGACTAGTCTAGTAGCATACCTTTGGACTTTTTCCAGCTTCGTCTTGTGCTTGACAAGGTACGGGCGTATATGTGTGTGTGTGTGTGTGTGTCATTTACACATATACACATCGATATTCCTTTTATATGACAAGTGATTCAACAAGAGGCCCACAACAGTCACTATACAAGGCACTTTACATCTATGGTGAGTCACACAGTTACTAGTCTACTCCACACCCACCCAACTGGGCGGCAGCTTTACAGTCATGTGCTCCACACCCACCCAACTGGGCGGCAGCTTTACAGTCATGTGCTCCACACCCACCCAACTGGGCGGCAGCTTTACAGTCATGTGCTCCACACCCACCCAACTGGGCGGCAGCTTTACAGTCATGTGCTCCACACCCACCCAACAACGCAGGTCCTGCTGGCCACAACTTCGATTTAGTTGTGATCCGAGTAAAAAAGCTAGTATATCCCGGGGTGTGTGGTGGAGGAGACGCAGCCTGACAGGTGGCAACAAGCTTGCCCTTGCCATAATTCACGGACAACTGCTCTACCATACAAGGTTTCCCTGGAACACTACCCGCTAATTGGTTTACATCCTGGTCCCAACTTGCAGTTGGTCAACAGGTGATCATATATGGATTGGTTTCCAGTACACCTTCCCTACTTTGTTGTCTTACACACACACACACACACACACACACACACACACACACACACACACACACACACACACACACACACACACACACACACACACGTACTTGTTGAAAAAATAGTAACAGTTGATTGACAGTTGAGGCGCGGGCCGAAATAGCAGAGCTCAATCCCCTGAAGCACAACTAGGTGAAACGCACGCGCGCGCGCGCACGCGATTACAAATAAAAGAGGTGGACTAGACGAAAAGACACATGCAGAAAACCCAGTTCTAACAGCACTCTCATAAACGAAATTGAAGGATATTATAACACATGAAGAGTTTCCACGCGGCTACTGTATAGTAATGTAAGGGGAGGGAGGGGGGGAAGAGATGGGAGGGGGAAGAGATGGGAGGAGGAAGAGAGGGGAGGGGGTAGAGAGGGGAGGGGGAGGAAGAGAGGGGAGGGGGAGGAGGGGTGGGGGGAAATGGAGGGGGTGGGTGAGGGCACCAAGCATGAGTGACCACAGACAAAGGCGGCCACTCTCACCCCCCCCCCCCCCCCCCCCGCCATCAACACACCCAACAAGCACAACTCTACACCCCCCCAAGCACCGTTTAACTAACGTGTACACAGGAGAGTCCCAGCACGAGACCAAAGTGCTCCAGGTGCGGGAGCACCACCTCCATGGACATTAAGAGGCTGTAGAGATGGCCTCTCAACTTCAACGAATAAAGTGCAAAGTTATGATAGTGATAACATTTGGCACAAGTTCCATTGCAGAGTCAAGACCCAAACACATTAGAGACCCAGACCCAAATGTCGACAGTGCCAACTCCAAGAGTCCCTGTTAATATATCACCGGCAGGCTCCCCTTACCTGGATCTTACCTGAAGGTAATTATGGGAGTTCTTTTACTTCCCAAGCCCGACCTGGGGGCTGGGCTTGACTTGTGAGAGCTTCATTCACCAGGCTGCTGCTTGAAGTGGCCCACAGACCTATATACCCACAACAACCCAGTTGGTCCGGTACTTTCTGTAGGAAACAAATGTTTTCCTTGACTTAAATCACTATGTATAGTCCCATAGTGCTCCCCCCCCCCCACTTGAACCACACAACGAGACCACACAATGTGGCACCAATGAATAGGCGCCAGGCACCAATAAATAGGCGCCAGGCACCAATAAAAAAGGCACTAGGTACCAATAAATAGGTGCCAGTCTGGTGGCATTCCGCTGAATCTGCTCTGTCTTATGTTTAACAAGGTACGGACTCAAGTTGGAGCTGCATATTCCAGGATTGGTCTGACATAAGTGGTACATAGGATCCTAAACGATTCCTTGCACAAGTTTCTAAGGGCAGTTCTTTATGTTGGCCAGTCTAGCACATGCCGCTGATGATATCCTTTTGATGTGGGCCTCTGGGAACAGTTTTGGTGTGATATCAACCCCCAGATCTTTCTCTATTTAACTCTTGCAGGATTTCACCTCCCAGATGGTACCTTGGGTTCCGTCTTCTGCTCCCTTCGCCTAATTTAATTACTTTACACTTTCCTGAGTTGAACTTTAGTAGCCATTTTCTAGACCATTCCTCCAGTTTGTCCAGGTCATCCTGTAGTCCCGATCTATCTTAATTCTTCTCATAATTTTTGCATCATCAGCAAACATCGAGAGGAATGAGTCTATACCCTCCGGAAGATCGTTTACATATATTAGAAAGAGGATGTGCCCAAGTACAGAGTCCTATGGAACTACGCTGGTGACATCTCGCTACTCT